AATTTTTGATAGTTTCGTTCATGGAAAACTTTAAACGAAAACAACGAATGTCTTGTTACGACTTAAACCTAAATAAGGTTTGGGAAATGCTAAGTGACAGCAAAAATGTAGTAATAAATTGCGTGATGAGACAAGATGGCTCAAGATAATGTAACCTGGAAGTTGCGAACGTGAGGTGGCAGAAGACGTATAGAACAAACGTGCAAGAGTTGTATGTATGTAGCACACGATGGAAATTCTGTGCAATAAATTGTTGTACCAAGAATGTACATTAAAGACTATGAAGGTATGTATGGAGAATGAAGTACGAAGCATGCAAACGTTATCAGTGAAGTCTAATCTAAAATAGATTAATGACTTTTGTACGTAACCTGACTCACCTAGGGCTGGAATTTCAAATAATTTTGTTGTCTTTTAAGACACAGTAAAAGTTTGGAGTATGTTAAAAAGCTTTTTAAAAACGTTACACTACCATTGGATAAAATGTAACCGATATTTTTCCTAATGTAATCATATAGTTTTTTTAAGTAGTTATATACAATAAAACGACAAATTCAACGATCTATAACGATGTGCTGTAGGAAGAAAGAAAGATCAGTTCCGGGTTAAGAGGAATGTATCGCCACGAGTAAGGAAAATGTGGATAATGTCGATTAATTTTTGCTTAGTCGCAGGTCTCAAGAAGGCTGGCTAAAACGTCTGACCCAATATCATTCGCAACTCCTTCCACGGCAGATCTTTCTTTCTCCCATCAATACCGTTCCGATGACCTGGTCTCAAGATATTTCTAATAATGTTTCCAGATAAATACCGGGAAAGACGTTAGATCATAAATTCGTACGTCACCGTGCAGTTCACGTTTATTTTCATACACGTGATTGAGTACGATAATCGAAAGCATTCCATTACTACTTCAAACAATCTAGTATTATTATTCGAAATTTTTAATGGATAACACTACGTTACACAGTGATATAAAACACTTCTCCCATAGACACCTAAAATAAAAATTTAAAACTAGAAACTGAGATAAAATAATCATGATTGTATATCGAGGAAGCTGTGGTTACTGACATTACACACGTTTCAATTAACAATTTTATGAGCTCCCTAAAATCTAAGAATCTTCAAATTTGCGAATATATTATTGGTTAAAATATTAGCAACATTGGTACAGTAAAAGAAGAGATTTAGAAATATCGGTTGAGCTTTTATAAGAACGAGCTAATAAAAGATATTACACGGAAGGTAAAAGTGATTACGAAATCGATATGAATGAATTCAACGATTAATACTTGGCAAAGCAGATACAATAATTGGATAGAAAAAAATGCGACAACACGAACCGTCAACAGTTTATTGGGTCAGCATGCCTCGCTCTGAAGGGTACTCTCTATGTACAATCTATACTGTAACAGGAGTTCTCAACCTTCCATCTCTTCGACTATACATTTCCAAAATCTGCTACAGAAATTCGTAAGATACTCACCTAGGAATTATTGTGATTTTAATACTTGTTGAATAGACTTACTAAAACAATTTGTTCATTCCAAACTAACAAATTTACACGTTTAATGCAAATGTAAAAAATATCAAAGGTAAACTATTAAAAAGATGAACGCTCTAGTTGTTTTCTACTACGAAAACTTGAATTCGACCCTTTGCACTCGATCTTTCATTTTTGAACAGTTACATCGACTCGAAGGAATTTTACTATGAGAAACACATTCGCGTATGGCATGTAGAAATTAATATAGAAGGAGAAGCTACCAATTACAGTTTTAATTGAACTTAATTGGTTCTGGATTATTAAACAGAATGTAATAACGACGGTATTCGTATCTGAAGAGAAATCTTCATAGCCGCCACTATGGCGACACTCGAGTACGAAGAATTAAAGCCGAGCCAATTCTCATTCTGGAGGAATTTGACAAATACCACGACATAAAGTCGAAACGATCCGTTTAAAGCTCTGGTCCAGTTTAATTTTTGACCTGAAACGACACGGCTTGGTAACAAGCATAGATGAGCAATATCTTGAAAACAAATCAGAGATAGGAAAAATTCTCACCTAAATAATAATTTTGCCCATCGTTGAACCAATTGCAATCGCCTGCACAATGAAAAAGAAATTAAAACGAATTTAAACTCGGACTATTTTAACGAAAGATGATCTACTGAATTCTGTACACCTATTTTCTAATCGTAGGTTCCATTATAGTAAGGCGATTCCGAGATTTTGTAATAAATTGTATAGGAAGGTACGAGAGCAAGTGAAAAAGTTTTACAGCACAAGAGGCCAAGATCGTTGCAACTTGACAGACTTCGCTAAAAGTTGCACGAGTTGTACCGTGCACTCCTAAATTTGTCAGGCACGACTCGAAGGTCGTAAAAACAAGTCAAGAATTGGGCAGTATTTGTGACCCACATGGACAACGTGGTGTAGCCTACCAATGAACCACGATCCATTATTAAGAACCTCTGGTTTGGTCGAAAAATACGTTTATTCGCCAAGGCTCCGGACATTCTACGTTTACATTTTACAGTTTACATATATCGACATTTACTACTTACTAAAACAGTCAACTGCAAAAGAAACCACTATATTTTTAAAAACACCTTCCACGAACAAAGGTTCATTATTTATTAGTGCTCACCCTCAAGAATTATTTCCTACTCACCAAATTCAAGTCGTACAAAATAAATTCTCGAAAGTCGTATCGTCACAAATTTAACGACTGCTCCGTATATAAATGATTAGAAAAGAATTTAGAGGATAATAACATTAATGAAAAGAAAATAACACTAAATTTACAAACAGAAAACACTAGTAAGAAAATTCCTATGCCCAAGAGAAAAACAATGGAATCCAAGGAACTGGAAAAGAAGAGGAAGATCAACAGTAAAGATTAGAATCTGAATTATTATTACGTGCTGTGCAATGAAGATATTAAAGGGCAGTACAATAGAACCTCCATCATTCGCACCTTCGTTATCTTAATGTTTTATTACCTATCCGACTATTCTCCTTTTTGAACGTTTTATTATCCGAACAAAGCACCCTAGAATATTTCTTTTTCCTAGTGAAACGTATTTGTTCAACCGCAAAAAATAATTCATAAATGAAAACTAAGATTGTGGAAGCTAGAGTTACCAATGATGGGCAAAATTTTATTCGAACTTATATTATCGACGCAACCAGTCCATTAAAAGAACTCATTTATATAAATTTAAAGCCCCCATAGATACTAAGCTCGGAATAAATGGCTCAACTGGATCTATCTCTGGTAAAGTCCCCATTTCAGCTACAGAAATTCATTGTTATGTACTTGCATGAACACAAATAGTTACACGTAGCCTCTCTTATCTCTGTTTACATTTATGAGCGGTTTCCGCGAACCATGAATTCTCGAAATCATGCCTTGAAACCCATCTCTCCCAAATTACGTGCTGCTACGACAAATACAACTATAAGTATCTTCCAACGTAAACGTTTCCGTAGAAAAATACGAGCCGTTCAAAGGTTATTGAACAACCTTTGAAGCAGTCTTAGCATTACAACAAGGAATCAGATAGTCAAAAGTAATTCTACAGAGTTAAATATGCAGAAAAATACTTGTATTATTTAGTAAATTAAACAGAAATAAATAATTTGTTACGCAATGCTTTCAATATTGCTGAATTTTCTTTACATATTTTCTCTAACAGTGCAAGAGATCAACTACTGAATCTAAAAGAGGTCAAGCACTAGCTCCTCGACAAGTGTCAACTACTGAAACATTTTAAGGTTTTTGCAGAAAATTTGGCATAATTGCATAATGCACATTTGATAAATTATAGCGTTGTAAGGTAATCAAGTAAAAATCTTCATCTGGTTTTGTAAACTTATATGTAATACATAAGCTTTTATGTTCATGTTCTTTTAAATGGTCAATTACTGACACGCTTGGCCTGTTCCAAATTCACGTTGTTATTAACCCTTTGTTGCATAATGTATTCGTTTAGGAAATCGATAAAAATAATCCGTGTTAAGTGCGCCGAATAAATTTTACGATGTTTCCTCATGGGGACATTTAACATCTCTGCAGGTTCGGTACATCGTTATTTACTTTAAGCATTTACTAATTAACGAACGTATAAATAACGAGGAAACAATTATTCCTCATCCAGCTTTCAACAGAAGTTAAGTTAAATAGTAGAATAAACCGTTAGCGAAACAATTCTTTTTGCTAAGAAACGTGCTATCCATTTCGTTTTAAGTTCACGTTGCTGTTGTTATTAAGATAAATTGTACAACAAACCGTACTCTGTTTTCAAGATAATCTCTTCCTGCTAAATCTCCTAAAGCGCCAGGCGGTTTTGAACATTTGGGCTTACACCCAAATAATTACTACTGTAAGCTCGAACAAACACCACGATGAAGAGTTACATATACTCTAATCGGGAAGTACATTGTCCGCCTAGGTTTCACGTATTTCACGTTCGCGTAATGTTCAATGAGAAAATTTTACAAAGCTTGCAAATAATTTTTGGACATTGGTCTTAGGTTCGAGCAAAAATGTTAAGATAATAAAATCGGTAATAAATCGTGTATTCAAATCTATTTGAAAAACAATCTCCTTGATTTGACCATCCGACAACCACGTTCACTGAGGAAATTTTACAAGGCTTGCAAATAATTTTTGGACATTGGTTTTAGGTTCGAGCAAAAATGTTAAGATAATAAAATCTGTAATAAATCGTGATCTATTTGCAAGGCGATTTTTTTGATTTGGACATTGGTCTAACATTCGAGCAAAAATGTTAAGATAATAAAATCCGTAATAAATCGTGATCTATTTGCAAGGCAATTTGTTTGATTTGGGTAGAAATTGCTATTCTAATCGAGGTTGTTGCCGTTAAAATAAATTGAATGTACGATCTGTTTGCAAGGTAATCTCTTTTTGCCAAGTCTCGGTGTAAGATCGGCGAAAGATTTGATCGGGGGTAGAGGCACTTACCAAGATACGTCCAGTGGTGGTTTGTCCGGAAATTAGTTCACCGGCCCAGTCCTTGGCTTCGGTCATAAAAGTCCCCTCGAACTCTTTGCCCTGGCGGCTCGTCTTCTGCTCTTTCTGCTTCGGGTCATTTGGAGCGAACTCGGGTTCCTTGCGACAGCAGAGGAAGGCGAACGCACGCCAGAGGAGCACGATCAGCAGCCCGGCGAGGAAGGTGAAGATGCTCGACAGCAGGAAGCACCACCATTTCCGCTCCTTTAGGCAGTCGTCTACCGGGGGCTGCTCGGTCGTCTCTTCGGTCGTCATCACGGCGGATCTCTGCTGCCCCCGGGTCACACATTCACCGGCGGCTATCAAAAACGGTGGCCAGCGGGGCACACTTTATGCGCTTCATAATTTCGTGCTGCCACGGGGCGCACGCCGCGCTGCAACTCCGCAAGCTTCCGCGGCTCGTTGCAGCTACGCGACCACGAGCTTTCTTCGCGGTCCGCGCGCACTAACCACCGGCCGATCTCTCTCCGCCCCTATCTTTCCGACGTTTCCTCCGTTTCACCGTCTCGTACGCACTCACTGATCACCACCCTCTCGGCCTCCTTACCCGAATTCTCCCCGACGGTGTCCACTACTTCTTCTAGCAAACACCTTTATCGTCCCCCCTCGACCCCCCCTCGTCCGTCGTTCAATCTCTACCGCTCCACTTTTCCTTCGGGTTGCCTTTTCGGTCTCTCGCTTTCGCTCGCTCAATCACTCACTCACTCTTTCCCTTTCGCGCTTCCCTTACTTTCTCGCCTTCGTTTGTCCGTGGGTCCTTTGGCCTCCCCTCGAACGCGGACCGATCGCACCTGGTCTCCGTACACGGAGTTCACTGATTTTTCTCGTCCCTCGCGCGCCACACTTCACGGATTCACAGTGATCTTGATCTTTGTTCGTCGATCGACTGGCACTGCTCGCACGGCGCCGCGCTCGATGATTCTCCGGGCATACTGCGTCCGTCGATTCCCGTTCGTCTCTTTAAGGATCCGTAGAGCCCACGGATTCTCGCGGGTCCTCCTGTCACCGCGGTGGTGTTCGGTGGCCGAGGATCACCACGGGTCGGTGTCGTCACACTCTGCGGCAGCTTGTGCCGCCGCCGCCGCTAATGCTGCAGGTAGTTCCAATCTCGAAAGGAGGAAATAGAAAACAACAAGAAAACAACCCACTAACACCACTACGTCATATACATACGCGTGTGTCCACGTATATACACATACATACATACATATATACGTGCATCATACATACGTCCATACATACATATGTATATATATACACATTATATATTATACATATATATATATAAATAAATAAATAAATACATGCACGCGCACGCATCACACGTACGCGCACTCGCACGCACTCACTCACGCACACACACACACACACACACACTCATATATCACATTATATGTATATATTTATGTATATATACTTGTATTTACATGTGTATATTGTATTAAACGCGAATCATGGACCGTACGCGACGAAACGCGCTTTCGATCACGACAACACGGAGAACTTTGCTCTATCTATACGCGTGTCCCGCTTTCTTAACCTACTCGACTGTACCACCGACGACGGCGACGACGACAACGGCGATGAGAACGACCGAGTGTCCGGACGACCATACCACTGCTCCGCAGCAATCAATACGCAACAATGGACCGGGACCAATAAGCTCGGAGCTTTCCCTGACGTAGACGCACGCTCTCTCGCTACGGTCTATCTCCCACCACTTCCGGCGAACTAGTGACGAACCTTCCCGCCAGAGACCGCCACGTCGGACGTGGTTACGCCAAAGCACATCTAACCCCTGTTGCTGCATCTACTGGCTCGACAACCGACTGAAACTGTTACAAATGGCCGTGCATAAGTCTCCCTATTCCACTGCGTGATTAGTTTCACCCAGGGATGGTCAAACTCTATTTTTAAAAGCATTGGAACACCTTATTAATTTTTATCGTGTTTCTAGTCGAATTGCTTAACGATATCCGCATGTTTTATTCGGTGACTGCAGAGCAACCGAATACTTCCGTTCGGCTTCGATGTCGAATACAGAATATACAAATATCTTCTAATCGTCTAGCCAGTGAATACCAAATACATTAATATTTTTATATTCGATAGCTAAGTGTAAAACAGTTCATTCGTTTTTTGGTATTCAGTACATTTTAATCCAGATGAATAACGAATACGTGGAACACGAATAAATTTTTATCGGTACAATTAAATATGTGTAGCAGTCGTGTGCATACGATATTAATGTGCTGTTGATACTTTGTTGCTTTCATAATATAAATTTTTTGTCAGTGTACAAATAGAATATTTTTATTTAATCCTATGAAATTTATCGATTTTATAACACCGCATTAATATCATATAAATACGTCTTGAAAAAATGATTTATTTTTCATTTATCGATTAAATTGAAAATACCGTTTTCAGTATTTGACGATGCATTAAATAAAAGTTACAAGAGTATTTAATATGCAAGAATATGAATAAATTATCATAGAGTACAATATGTCAACTTATTCGTCACTTGTTCTAAGCATTGAATATATATATTTAGTATTTAAATGCATTTCAATCACGGAATCGTTCGAACATGTCCATCATTCCTTGCTTTTATTGCAACGTACGCGTTTCACTTTTGAATTATTGAAACGCCAACTATGATGGAAACTATTCCCAGCATAATAATTTCAATTCTATAAAATACAAAATTGAATTTAATTATTTATAATAAATACAAGAAGCATTAGAATTAATACGATAAAGTTAAATTAATATACACAAGAATAATAAATGAGAGCAAAGTGAACAAAAACTTTCATTTTCCGAGTTTATCGGTCATCTGTCTCGATACATTGTTTCAGTAAATATGACAGAACGACAATACATACATACATGTTTGTTTATGTATTATATCCTCAATCGATATTAAATGCCATGAGATTGATTTTTACTCGCAACCTTTTACTGTATGATTTTGTAGATATTATTTTCTTTTTGCAATTTTCATTAAATACGTACTTAATGCATGAAATTTGTATATTCTCCGCTCTTTTTTCCTATAAATCTAAAATTATTTATTTCATTTCAATTTTTAAATTATTTTCTGTTGTAATAAGATACTATCACTATGTTTAACTGTGTTAACGTTTGGCGTTATTATGATTTATATATATGAAAATGGCTGACATAAAAAAGAGCATTGAAATGTATTACTTTAAATAAATTGGAATGAAAAATAAACTTTAATTCCAATGATCCTAAAAAATAATTTAATCAACTTATAACAATTATATGTACGAAATTATAAAATAATAGTTACTATTAACCAAAACGTATATATATATATATATGAAAGTATAGAATATCAATGTAGTACAAATTGTAAAAAAAACTATTTATTTATATAATCTTACTTCATACTATTATAAATATAAAAAATGTATTTATTTACATAAAAGATATTGTACATATTACTTCTCCTGTTCGTATTTAGATCCTATAGATATTTCTAGTAATATATAATATATATAAAAATGTTTTTTAATTTAAAATATTAAAATGAACTTTATAAATTTTATTACGATATGAAATGAATAATGAAATTTAGTACGTAACATCTCAATTGACATTTATATTGAGTGTAATAATATTACGTACAGGTAAAGGTTATCCTGTAACGATGTCCATATATTTTTATTATTATTATTAAATGATAATTACTATTATTATACCATTTAACTGTAATTAAACACAAATTATTAACCTATCTTTTGTACGTAGTACTGTAAGTCGTCTTATCTTCCTATTTTTGAATCAATGGTAGCGTATTATTAATACAGAGTAATGAATCGAATTTTAAACATTAATTTACACTTTGAATTAGGTAATGTACGTAAAATTGTACACAAATATACATATGTACGTACATATATTGTACAACCGTAAACATAAAATCTAAGCTAAACCAAAAACGAGGGAAGAAAGAATAAATCATTTAAAAACAATACACATTTATTGAATTAAACATGTCCGAGGAGAAGTTTGAAAGGTACTTTTACAATCTATATAAGTTTATGTATTTATAAACAAAATCTTTAGTATACTTAATAATTAAATGTCTCTTAGTGACATATGTAACATTTTTGAGGTTATGTATTATTATTTTTCCTTCTAAACTGTACAATTAATACACTCTACAATAAACATATTTTTTATAGTCCAATCGATAAAGTAGACGAAGCGCAAACTGAATCTATTGAAGATAAGATAAAAATAAAATCTGATGATAAAAGTAAACAGAAACATAAACAGGAAGAGCTCAGTGAAAAATCTAATGGTCGCAATAACAATGAAAATGGAAATTGTTATTGGTAATTTATTTAAAGTTCATATATAAATAAATAATACAGGAAAGTGTACGACAGACTTATGAACTTTAATTATTTTTTTTTAGCGGGAAAGAAAGAAATCTGAATATTGTAGAATTGTTATGTGCTAGCTGCTCAAGATGGTTTCATGAATCTTGTATTGGATATCAATTGGGTAAATTAGTACCCTTTATGATGAACTACATATTCATGTGCAAAAATTGTTCTCCCACTGGTTTAGAAAGTTTTAAAAAGAATCAAGCACGTAAGAATCTATTCTATCCGTAATATTTTACTAATGCTTTCATTTCCTTGTTGATTGCAAATTTGTTGTATTGTGTATTTTGATATTTTAGCATTTCCACAAATGTGTGTAACTGCATTAGCAAATCTATTGCAAATGTCTCAGAAAGACAATGAACAAAGAACACTTTTTCATAAAGATAAAGATATTATTCCTTTCATTGAATGTCATTGGGATAGTATGACTACAATGCCACGTAGAGTCACTCAATCTTGGCATGCCACTGTAAGTAATATTTTCATTATTAGTAACATACATTAATTACATGTATGAGTACAAAAAGATGAACATATCAATATCTATGTACTTTACTCATGGATTCATGATTAAATTTAAACAATAGATACAGTATATCACATAAAAAATCATTTCATCAGTTTATATTTAGTAAAGTTATTGTATTTGTAAATAATTATATATTATGATATAAAAAAATTTAATATTTGTTAAAAAAAAAATTATTTATTTATACATCATACATACGCTAGTTTGTTAATATTTATATTGCATATTTCTTGCTCTAAAACCATTAAAATATTATTTTAAAAGAAGTAAAACATATGTTTTAATTCAGATACATAGAGCACTGTTAAAAGATGTTGGAACATTATTTGCAATTGAAGAAACTGGTCCAGATGGTCAATTATTTGGACTTATAAGTTCTGATCTTCTAATGATTAAACCAAATTATGAAGCCATGATTAAGGGTGGTCATTTAAAAGTAACTGAAATGGGCGTTCAACATGTTGGTAAGTACAATTCAGAATCAAATATACTATAATGTCATTAGAATGTGCAAATGTTTTCAAAATATATATACAATAAGCCGATTTATTTCAATAATATCGATATTTTCGCGTAAGTCGAATTGTGTATACATATGTAGTAATGTAGTGTGGGGTGGTCCCACACTTTTACTACTACTTTAAATGTTTATAAAAATATTTATATCGCGCCTATGAGGTATGCATGTACTCAACTATATCATGAATAATGCATCTCTATAAGTCATTATTTCTATTTGTAATTACATTTAAAAATAGCAACAGCAGCATAAGTTGCTTCTAATCAACTACTCTCTTAATGAATTCTCAATTACTACCAATTAATAGACTCTTAAATATATAAATTGGTGTATTGTTTACAATTGTGCCATTATCAATTTTTAAAAGTGCAAATGGAAATAAGTTATAGATAGATCTGACCAGATAAAATCTAGCATAAAAGAATAATAATATTCCATCTTTAAAACATATTTTGTCAGAATCATATCCATTTTAATCACATCATGAATTATGTCCCATCTTGTGTATATCTACTTTTATCATTAGATTCTCAGTTTCTGTACTTTTATTTTAGTTAGTTCTTATCTTATCCAGCAATTAATCAGTGCCATGATATCATATGTCATTCTGCTTAATCATAGTGTCTATAACACAAATAAGTTGTACTTTTTAATAAATTCTATAGTGAAAATCAGCATTAATATATTATATAGAACAATACCTGCTATAAGTAATTATCATTATAGTATGTAGAAAACTTTACAATTCAAATTGGTTGCAATTTTTTCATTATTTTCTTGTGTTAACGCACACTTTCAACAAATAACATATTAAAATTAGTTACGCGAATAGCTTAATAAGTACTATTATGGAAAATTTAGTGCCACTTAGTGGAGGACTTCGTGGTCGCAATGCAAAACGTAAATTTCCTGGAGAAGGGGCAGGTACAGGACCTGGTAAAAAAGGGAGAGGTTCAGATATGGCAGCTCCCAAGTTACCTGCCCATGGATATCCTCTTGAACACCCTTTTAATAAAGATGGATACAGATATATTCTTGCTGAACCTGATCCTCACGCACCATTTAGACAGGTTTGTTATAGTAATTTGTTTTTATTATAATTTGTAAAGTACAGCAATTCAATATACAATATCATGTAAATATATTGTAAAGAGGTAAGATTATTTTATAGGAATTCGATGAGAGTAGTGATTGGGCTGGGAAACCTATTCCAGGATGGCTGTATAGAGGTTTGAGTCCTAGTACAGTTTTACTTGCATTACATGATCGAGCTCCCCAGCTCAGAGTTTCTGAAGATAGACTTGCAGTCACTGGTGAAAAGGGCTATTGCATGGTCAGGGCCACACATAGTATGTCAGAAATATGATCTAGCTACATGATTCTTTTTTTTATTATTTTAATAAGTATAATTTAAATCATAACAAAGTTTGACGCTTTATATACTATGTACTACATGACTGATATGAACATTTTTAGATGTAAGTAAAGGAACATGGTACTGGGAAGCAACTATTGAAGAGATGCCAGAGGGTTCTGCTACTAGGTTAGGATGGGGTCAAGAATATGCTAATTTACAAGCTCCACTTGGTTATGATAAATTTGGATATTCGTGGAGATCTAGGTACAATTAAATAGATGAATATGAACTTAAGTACATTAAATTATTTATATAAGAAAAACCTATTGCTCATGTACTTCTTATTAGAAAAGGTACACGGTTCCATGAAAGTAGAGGTAAACATTATAGTAACAGTTATGGAGAAGGTGACACTTTAGGGTTCCTAATAACTTTACCTGATACACATGATGCTTCACACTTACCAAACACATATAAAGATCGAGTGAGTAAAAGATATATGTATGTTTACTATACTTTCATATACTACTTACAAATTAACAAATATTTGCAAATTAGCCTTTAGTAAAATTTAAAAGTCATCTTTACTATGAAGAAAAGGATCAAGTACCTGAAGCACTTAAGGCTCTAAAACCTCTAGATGGTAGTAAAATTACATTTTATAAAAATGGTGTAAATCTAGGTGAAGCTTTTATTGATATCAACAAAGGAGCTTATTATCCTACAATATCCATTCATAAAAGTGCTACAGTTTCAGTAAACTTTGGACCAAATTTTAAATGTCCTCCACCTGACATCGCTTTTAGAGGGGTATGTAGAATATTAGATGAAATAAAAAGATGTAAAAAGTATAACAAACTTTTAAAGTATAAGTATTTTTATAAATATATATCTTACAGATGCATGATAGAGCAGAAGAAGCAATTGCAGAACAATCTATGGCTGATATACTTTATTTCACTGAAAATGAGGGAAAGTTAAGACTGGATACTTTTGCTTTATGACATTAATGTATTTTTTTATTTCATTTTATTCTTAATTCTATTTTTATTAAATATTTTTAACAATACACATTAATTTGAATTCATGAATTTACAATTGAAGAATACACCTAATTTGGGGTACTATACGTGATTTGAGCATGAACATAATATAATTTAATCAATCATCTTCCAAAACCACCCTTACAAGCTGGACTTGGAGTTATTTTACTGTTGTCTTTCCATTGATCAGCTGTTTTTGCCTTTATAAAAAAACATTAAAACCAATTTATTCTGAGATTATATTTTGCTATAATCTGGCTCTATTGAACTCTACTTACTACTATTGATAATGCATGCACTCCACCTTCTAATTCTGCTTCCAATAATTGATTTATTATTTGATGACGCTAAATAAATAAAATTATATTTTTCTCATAAATTTCCCTGTTTTATTGGGGAAAAATACTAATATATGGTAAATAGTATTCTATTAAATTCGTCTATTTAAAATATAACTTATACAATGGATATACCATTAATGAAAGAAAGGTTCTGGTAAACTCTATGAACATTTTTTAAAAAGAAAACAAAATTGAACAAGACATATTTAGGTTATGTTAACTAAAAAGTCAGTCAATATTTTGTGTAATTTTTTTCTGCCTTTTTTCAAATATTTAAATGGTGTCATATTTATAAGAAGAACTACACTCTGCAGGGACTGTGCTTTAGTAAGGTATGTTGTATGCATGTGTGGGTATATTTGCTATAACACAGAACCTAAGGCAAGAACATACTTGTCCAAACCTATAGATAGTTCTGTACACAATTTAAATAATATAGAATTATATTCTTTTTGAATGAACATTCAAATTCTTACCTTAAGGAGTGGTTTATCTTTAAACACATCAGTCACAACAATTACTTTAAAATGTGTTTCAGATCCTTTAGGAACATTATGCATATAAGATTCATTTATTATTTCAATATGAGATGGATTTAAAAAATCAATTAATTTCTTCCTTATTGAAAGTTCTATTGGATTATCTTGTATTATAGTACTCATATTTTGTAGAGAAATAATAGCTTTTGGATATTTAACATGGGATACTTGCATACATTTTATGTCTGTAAAGTTAAATACTATGTAATACTAAAATAATATAATATTATATTCAGATAATAAAAGAAAAGTGACTTATTTCAAAAAGTTTTTTATCAAATTATTCAGGAACAAAGTATACATGTTCAATTAAATATATTTTACATTGTATTTAAAATTATTTGGCTACACTATTTCATTGTATCGTGACTTCATATTTCTGTATGATTAGAGTATTATAATACATAGTACCATACAAATTTATTTTATTGTTACTATAATATTTATACATTGATGTGCAAAGAAAATGTATATATTATGTGTGAACATAATTCAATATAATATTCTTCTTTATACACTACATTACGTAGCAAATAACGTAGTAATAATAAAATTTCGGTGTATTCGACAAAATGTAACCTGTATCTTTGACGGTCATATAAAACAATACCAAAACAAAATGTATGTATAATAATAAAAATATACAAAAAACCACTCACTTTTTCCTATTAATACTGTCGTTTTCAACATTTATTAAACTGTATCACTGCTATACACGTGTTACGTTATTAAGAGAAATTATATAAAGATATCAAATAAATCTAATTTTCAATTATCTCCTAACCAAAACTAGCGTTACTACGCGACTACCAGTACCCAATACAAACCAGAGACAACTGTTCACTGCGTCACTGCTCCTTCACTTTTCGAGAGCAAGAAAGAGATGATCACATTCTCCTTCTTTCTCTAATTCCCGAAACTGTCCGAAGCGCAGTAGCTCTCATATATGTGGCTGTTATTAGTGTGCGTAAGTGGTGGGGCAGTTTCCTCTGGGCCACTGGTGGCACTGGTATAATATCTGGTAAGGCTGAATGCTCGCGACCCCGAGTTCGTGTGTCATAAAGAAGCATTATTTATCAAGTTGCAACGTTCTTCTATATCTTGTCTGTGCTAATATACAATTTTAATCTTACCTATTATAGCCCTATTAAGTATTCTTATAACAATATCAAGGCGTATTACAAATTTACGTAGTATCATAATTACAATATTTTGTGAATTAATAATGATTTATATACGTGATTTATAATCTAAAATTACATTAAATTATCATAAAAGCATATTGGTGATTCATGTTTAATATGAAATGAAAAGTTAAATCTATTTAAAATTATTGTACAAATAATATGTAAGTGTAAGTGCAATAGCATTTCCATTTTGTATTTGAATTGATAGGTATAAATGAGATTTATTTATTCCTCATTGTAGAAAAGTGAACAGTTTTAAGTAAATCAACAACATGACACCAATGTTTTATCAATACGCACAAGCCTCCCAGCGATCAAAACAAATACATGCACCACCAATTCGTCCTGATATTGTAAGTTTCTTTAAATATAGTTAAAGTATTTTTGAGTTCTGTTTGTAATATGAACAAAGTTACTTATTCCATATGTATCTTATATGTATTTTATGTGTATTATTTTCTACTAAGTTGTATATAAAAGGAAATTATGTAGCAATATGTGTATAATACTCAATCTTTGATTTTTAGTTATATTATTTCATTATATTCTTTAATTGTTTGAAATATGAAGTTATACAATATTAATAAAGAATGTCAAACACCATTTTGTGCTTTTGTATTTATTATTGTCATCTTATTACTATTAAGGAAAAGTATATTAAAAAACATAAATTTTTAGAGTACGGCTGGATTTATACAAGTGAAATTACAAAATGATGAGCCTATTTTTATAAAAAAACAAGTTAATTTCTTATCACCTGACAACATTTTACATCTTGTTGTTAATAATAATATCATTGTTATTGCTATGGCTAATAACATTCTTCTGCGTATTGATATAAGACATCCAGATAAACCAGAAGGTAGAGATTTCAATGTTTTAATGATATATGAAAAACATAAATTTATGATATGGAATATTTCATGGAACATTGGTTTCAGAGATTGACATATCTAAATATGTAGTAAACATGAAAATATCAGGAATGTTTCTTGATCCTTTGGGTGATCATCTATTAATTACTTTGGTTGCAACATCACAAAACAACAACCCATCAGAGTTATTTTATTTACATAGAAAAACAACAAAATTAAAACAGGTAAATGAGATGATTAAGCAGAACAACTACTTTAAAAGAAATATATATTCCTCAAGATGTTTTCATTTAGGCAGGGAAATTCAAAGGGCATGAAATTACTGCTGTTGGGTGGAACTTTTCAAATACCTCTGAAACTACTACAGGCCCAATTCTCTTAGGAACTTCAAAAGGTCTTATTTTTGAGACAGAAATTGGTTTAGACGGGGATAAAATATTTAATACATGTTTGGAACAATATTGGCGTCAGGTATAAATAAAATATAGATTTAAATTTCAATTATATCATTATCTGTATACATTCTCAGTCCATGATACTAGAAGTATTTCCCTTATATCATTATTCATTATTTCCAAAGCTTCCTAACTATTTACCTCTTTATGGTGCTAAAGAGGTAGAAGGATTGGTGAGTTAGAAGTTAAACTTTCTGCATGTGCAAAACACCTGTCGTATTTTTTGTTATAAATTCTGATTTTCCATCTTCATGATATTGGCTTGTCAGCACTATATTGCTTTTATATCATAAAATCATAATCTATCATAACGTAAATAGTACATAATATTATTATATGTCCAATTGTTGATCATTATATATTTTAGGTGTTTGATATAGGAGAAAATAGTAAACCACCAATTACTGGTTTAGAATTCCACAGAGTACCAAATACAGATAAATATATAATTATTGTTACTACTCTTATACGTATTTATCAATATATTGGATCAGTACAAAATGCAGATGAAAAACCATTATTACAACAAGTTTTCAATAAGTATTTGAATATGGAAGGTAAATTTTTGTTACATACATTTACATCAATAATTGTATTTATTATAATTACCTATAATATAATATTTCTAGAAAGTTTTACCGATGTAATAAATTCTTTGCCTTATTCTAAAATGCAATTTTATTATCCTGCACCTGGTGCATTACCAAAGTCATTTGGTTGGCTAACTGAAACTGGTATACTGTATGCACAGGTAAAAGTTATTAAAATTCTTTATGTGTGGAAATTTGATATAAAAGTTTAATTTTAAAACAATCTGACTTTATTTAGGTGGATCCAAAAGCAGATCCAAAAAATGTATTAATAAATCGACAAATGTTAAACTCTCCAGAAGCAAGTCTTATGGGAAACAACATGTCAAGAGTAACAACTGCCCCACTGTCTTTTATTTTAACAGAATTTCATGCATTGTTACTTTACCCAGATCATGTAAAAGGCATATTTCTTTTAAATCAAGAATTGATATTTGAAGATATCTATAATGATGTATGTATAATGAATATTAAATATGATAACATAACTATATATATCTTGAATCGGGGTTATATAATCTAAATAATTTTTATTTTCATAGGCTTATGGAAGTTTGCTTAACATTACTACAGACCATGTAACTCGTTCTGTATGGGCTTATAGTGAACGGGCAGTATTTAAATACAAAATTAATAAAGAAGACAGAAATGTGTGGCAGGTAAATTAATATGTGTATTTGGAATGATTTTTACCGGTATCTCTCGAGTTACGCGGTTTTGGAGCAATTTTATTTAAAAAGAAAATATATATGTAATTATAGATGAATGTTTTTAAATGAAAAAGATAATAGATATTTCACAATAGTTTGTATATTTTTCAGAATATTTCAGAGACTAATTCTGAGTCTCGACTTACGCGGAACCAATTAACCGCGTAACTCGAGAGATATCTGTATATATATTAATAATTATGTGTATTATTCTATTCTTATACAGGTTTACATTGATAAAGGCGAATTTGAACTTGCTAAACAATATTGTAAAGATAATCCAGCACATATAGATCAAGTACTTGTAAAGCAAGCAGAAATGCTTTTTAAAAATGGAGAGTATGTTGAATTTTATATATTAATACTTAATTATATTATGTATGGTTATAAACTTATTTAAACACTTATTTACAGATATGAAAAGAGTGCTTTCATTTATGCAGATATTCATTCATCATTTGAAGAAATTTCTTCAAAATTTCTTCAGGAATCGCAAATAGAGGCTTTAAAAACATTCCTTAAGAAGGTACTACATATTTTTTTTTTAAATTATTCAGTTTGATTATTTAAAATAATACAAATATCTATATTTATACATAGAAACTTGAAGGATTGAAACCACAAGATGAAGCCCAAAGAACTATGATTGTTGTATGGATAATTGAATTATTTATGAGTCAAATGGGTACAATAAGGAGTACTAATACTTCATATTTAAATGATTCCCAATACTTAGAACTGCAGAAACGATTTGAAAATTTTCTTGCAATACCAAAAGTTGAGGTAATACTTAAAAAATACTGCATTGTTTTATGAAATAATGATCTTTCTAGGTGTGTAAAAAACTATTTTAATTTTAGGAATGTATAAAAAAAAATCGTAATACTATATATGATTTAATAGCACGTCATGGCGATAAAGATAATCTTATACGTTTAACTATAATGCATTGCAATTATGAAGAAGTGATACGTCAGCATTTATATAAAACCAATTATTTAGAAGCTCTTGAAGTATTAAAATGTCAAAATAATAAAGATCTTTTTTATCAGTTTTCTGGTATTCTATTGCAAGAATTACCACGCCCTACAGTGACTGCCTTGAAATCACAAGGTTCTTTACTAAAGCCATCAAAACTTCTTCCAGCTTTAGTATCTTGTAACAGTGACGAAAAACATGTAAGATCTATACTTTACATTTTATTATTATTATTTTCATAAGGTTTCTGATAAATAAAAAGTATTTGGCAATGTAGGCAAAGGAAATAATCAGATATCTAGAGTTTTGTGTGTATAAACAAAGCTGTCAGGAACAGGCAATTCATAATTTTCTATTGTCATTATATGCTCGTTACAAACAAGACGAAGTAATGCGTTACATCAGTTCACAAGGTGATTTTTAGAATACATATTTTAATGTGAAATATTTAAAAAAAATTATATTTTATCGAAACTCTTGATATTTTTTCAGGACAAGATATAAATATGGTACATTATGATGTGCACTATGCATTACGACTATGTCAAGAAGTTGGCTTGACTGAAGCATGTGTACAGTTATCTGCTTTGCTTGGACTCTGGACAACAGCAGTTGATTTAGCTTTGACAAGTAGTGTTGATCTTGCTAAACAAATAGCTGCTATGCCTTCCGATAATGATGATGAATTACGAAAAAAATTATGGTTAAAAATAGGTAATTCATCAAAATATAAATTTGATGTTTTGATGATGATCTTAATTCTTATTGAATTTAATTTCAGCTGAACACGTTGTACGAGAAAAAGATGATATACAACTAGCAATGAAATTTTTAGAAGATTGCGATATAATTAGAATAGAAGATATACTACCATTTTTCTCAGACTTTGTTACCATAGATCACTTTAAGGATGCTATTTGCAATTCATTACAGGTGAAATAATTTGATATGTAATATGTTATTACTTTATTAAGTATCTATGCAATTACTATTATACCTTTCAATCACAATTGACAGGAATATAATCAACATATTCAAGATCTCAAAGAAGAAATGCAAGAAGCAACAAAGGCAGCTGAAATTATTAGAAAAGATATTCAAGAATTTAGAACAAGGTAACTAGAAAATACAATGGTAGATTGATCGATACCATGATATAACTAAACTTTCTTTCAGATGTACATTTGTATATACAAAGGACACATGCAATATGTGTGATGTTCAATTGTTATTACGACCTTTTTATGTATTTCCATGTGGACATAGATTTCATAGAGATTGTCTTGTAGCTGCATTGATACCTATGTTGTCAATGGATCAGAGAACAAAGCTAACTGACCTTCAGAGACAACTTACTGCTCTTTCAAATAATCCAGAAGATACTACTTCAGTTGGATCAGTATCTTTATCTGCAAAAGATCAAATCAAGGCTGACATTGATGAAGTAGTAGCCTCTGAATGTTTATATTGCGGAGAACTTATGATAGAGTAAGTTATTTTAGACCATATCAAGTATTACGTACCGTTTAATTCAAATTTTAAAAGTAGATTGAAAACCGAAAAATATTTGATCCGTGTTTTGTTGCTTTAACACTCACCAGTTTACAAAATATTCAGCAATGAAGATTACATTGTTTAACTAATTAATCCAAATTTTTCAACTAATTAACCGTTTACGAAATGCACTTAAAAATGTAATCGTCAGAATTAGTTGGTTAACCTCGATCGATTACTGAAATCGATTTACTTACGACTATTGGCTTTGCTCCGTTGCCAAGGAAACCGCACGTTGTTAGGGCAAGTACAAACGAACATTTCGTGTGGTTCCCTTGTTGGTGCATTAAATTTTTTATAGAAATTAAATAACTATTCTGATATTCGGTTTAATACAGAAGTGAAAATTACATTATAGGTCTATAGATAAACCATTTATTGAAGAGGATGATTATGAGCGAGTAATGAAGGAATGGGCATAAATAGTAAGACGTGTCATTTATTTGTAAAATATTCCAATACTCATCTACTTTGTATGGTATACATATTTATAAAAATTATTGCTTGTAATAAACAAAATATGTATTATACAGTTTTCGACATGAAAGCTATTTATTTTGTATATATTAATTTGTAAATGCAAAAATAAAAAGCCAAGGAAGCTATAAAACAATATAAAATAGATATAAGTTTTTACATACAGGTGACAATATAAACACACGTAATGTACTAAATTTTAATAAGAAATATTTTATTTCAATTAATTTTAGATATATTGTACTGATTAGTAACTTAATTTAGTTGTAACAACGATTCAGCTTGCTTATTTCGTTTACTCACGGCTTTGTTACCATGAATATAATACCGTAATGGTTTATTTGACCACTCTGTTCCATAACTGTCTATACCTATTCTAGGGCATTTCACAATTTTGATATTTTCATTTATGTTGCCATTTTCAATCCACAAACCTTTCCAGGAACACATGGAGTATTTACTATGCTTTTTATGAAGTTGTAAAGCCATACATAACTTCGATGGACCATTACACAATTCATGTGTTTTTAAATCTTTCAAAGGTTTTTTTGGTACACCTGATTTTCCCTTTGAAGTTCGTTGATTGGCCATGCATTCAATACCTTCTAAGGGTTCAAGAGCTCTTATCAAAACAGCACACCCCTCACCTAAAATCTTACCAGAATATTGCTGTGTGGAAGAATGTAACACATGGAAGTTACAAATTATTAGATATCATAGGCATGTTCTTCAGATTCAATATTTCTTTGAGTAACGCTAGAACTTCCTAACACATAGTATCGCCACACTTTTTGTTCATTATTTTCCAAATCGTTATTAAGATTTACTGCTACAATTGTAGTGGATTTTATGTAAGGATCATATTCTACCCATAAATCATTACATTTGTAAATTTTTTTTTCGTTGAAACTATCTTCATCAATAACAAAAGTTGTACAAATTTTGGACGGACTGTTACAAAGTTCATGTTGTTTAATGTGTTGAACATTTTCCATAATTCTTTTTTCTTTTTTGTCTTTTTCTAATTGCATATTTCTTAGTAATTCCATATAATCAAGACCAAGTATTGGTTCCACTGCTTTAATTTGTATATATGCTCCTGATTCTAAATATTTTTTACTATAATACTTGATATGCTTTGCGATAGTATATTTAAAATTGTGAGTTTTGTGACTAGATAATTCTATACTTCTTAAATCAAATGTACAAATAATTAATACAAACATTATTATTTCAAATAATATCATATTACTCTAAACAACAGCTGATATGTTATATTCTACATATGTTATTACATACAATTTTAAATAATAATGTATGTACTGATTATCTGTGCATTTAATTTGGTTTCTTAACTTGCAAACATCAATTGTAATTTTATTTTACAATTCTTAGTAATTTTTCACTCACCTTGACTAGATATATTGAAACAATGATACATGCCATATGTCATGTAGACATAGATGGTACCTGGTGACATATACATAGGTATATTACGAGGAGTAATTTTATTTTGATATGTATGTGATGCCTTATCAATTACACCTAAATAACCTTCAGTTTCAACAATTCTACCCTTTAAAATAGTTCCATTTTCAAGATGACGAACTAGTACTTTCCCTAAATAGGAAAACAATTTACCCATTTTGACCAAAAGATATTAAATCTAAATTATATTAAAGGTCAAATAAGAAACCATAGTTAATGGAATTACCTAATAGATTTTGAGCTAATTCTTCACAAGGAGAATCAAAGAATGATAATGGCAATCTATTAGAACATATCTCTTTTTCCCAACTAGTTAAAGGTGGATCTTCTAACTGTTTCAACTCTTCTTCCATCATTTTAAGATCTACTACAGCTCTAGGTTTATTTTTTGTATTATGCATATTTGGTTTTAATTCTATACTGATTTTTTTATTTCCTGTACGAATAAATTATTTGAAAAATACATATTCGGTAGGATATTTAAACTTTAATATTAAACTGACTCACTGTCTCTCAGGCTTTTAAAATTAAGTTTAGTTTTTTCTTTGTGGTTAGAATTTTTAACATCTTCTAAAGAGGGTTTACTAGAAGACTTCATAGTATCAATAAGTTCACTTTGAGGTTTTAACATTTCTGATGTGTTGTTTAATTTCTGGTTTTGTAAATTCTTAGTTTGTACCATTAAATGATGTTCATTGTCCTGATAAAAATATACGTGTCTCATTTATGATAAATAAAGTCATGTTATTATTTCGATTCATTCTACTGAATGCAGAGTTATTATAAAATAATCGTGTTATAGATTAAAATACGCAATGAGAAAGAAACATGAGGTTCGTATAGAATAAAAGTAATGCAGTTGTTAGATTGTTTACGAAATTTAAAGTAAGATTTTAACGAACCTTTGACTCTGTTTCTGTTTCATCCTTGATCCCATCTTTGGCTGATTTTGCCTTTGAAACAGCCCGCGTTCTCTTCATTGATGAAACTGAAGACTCGTGACGAAACGCTACAAAACTGTTAAACGTTTGGCGAATAATGTTTTCTACAAAAAACAATACAAACTATGATATAGCTTACGTTAATAACGTCGGATCAGGTTACGCGGGTTGCAAAGAATGCTACATTTAAATACCAACTACAATGAAGTTTCTCGTGAAACAAATGTCAAAAATCAGTACTACCACTACACAGGTGTAATTAAGATGACCAGATATGATGATAATTTTTATTCATGCATCTCTGATGGTCGTGTAATTTGAATGTGTTTCCATTCAAAAAAAGTGTTCTAAATTTTTGCACTTTACAAACTAGTAAAATATATTTCTGCGTCTTTGTACACAAATACAGGTCAGTCATAACAAACGTGTTAATACATACGATTTTTCGATATTCCGTAATTGGCGAGGTTCTTTAGACTAGATTTAACAGGCAACATATACTTGCAGTTCAGAAGAAATATTAGTTACTAGAAAAAGTTAAATTTGACTTCTTTAATTACGTACAGATTACTTTTCGACTTAATACGCGCGAATGTTACGTTATCGAATATGTATTTTCAACTATTTCGATAAAAATTGTTTTCAACGCGAGCGGAATCATAGATTACGTTTATCAATCCTTTAAAGTTTACTTGTCTTGTACTTGTCGTAATAGAGTGAAATAAGAGGCAGCTGTGTTGAACACCTGAAAGAGACGTTCATGTTTTAATTGTTCCAAGATACACAGCCTCGTTAATACTTACGCTTGTTAACGTATTAATAGATAAAGTTTGAAAGGTTAATGCTTTGATACTGCAATATTGTTGCGTTCTAACGATTATAAAGTAAAGCTGTTTTTGATAAATTGGCGGTAAACTGTACCACGATACGTTAAGATAAATCGTGTGACCTATTCGCTGACTCTCATTAACGAGAATTTCGCCGGCCCAACACCATAATACAAGTTGTATCCACATTGATATTAAATAAGATATACATTTTAGTTGATCGGCTCTTGTTCCATTGTTATCAGTAACCGCGAATCCACTCAAACAAATTTCCACTCCGCTCGTAAGAAGTTGCACAAATATGATGGGGGTCAACAAATTATTGACATTGTTCACCACGCTATACAAAAGTAACACAGCCCCGTTAAACGTATTAATTTACGACCATAACAAAAATCTAAATTAAATTATTAAATCTAAAAGTCCAAATAGTGCAAAAATTCATCGAAAACTCTTTTTCCTAGTGTTCCAGGCCAGAAATTATTTTTAACGTAAACGAGGTGATAGAAATTAGAAACATGTTTACTTAATCATTCGTTGGTGATGACAAATGCACCTGGTCAAATTTTCTTCCAAGTTACTTAAATAATTGGCATCCATAGACTCGCAATTTATTTCAATTCCGATTTTATCGATCCATGTGTTAATTAACTTAAACTGACCGCATACGTGCAAAATTATGGTCACAAACGTGGCGTCCAAACCAGAGATCCCTGCACAACAAATCATGGACGATATGACTTGGCAAATAAAAGCGATCTCGAATTGAGGAGAGTCCGTAACGTTAGTTCCGTACCTGATTGTAGCATCAGATATCATGAAAGAAATATTCAGGGTATTTAAAGGAGTATATAATAAATAAGAAATGAATTTTACCAGACTTCAAAAGGTAAATGACGATTTTTGTAGGTGCCGTTGTTGATATTGTACTCGATTTTAATGTAATCGACTGCAGCCGCAATCGTAAAAGTGAACACGTTGCATAGACAAGAAAAATAAAATACTATAGTAATAGTTCGTGCCTGATAAGCTAACTTTTGGTAGGATTGTCTTTCTTTGAGGTCGTTGGAACTGTCCCATAGATCTCTTAATTCGTTATAAAGCCAGTATACTCTTTCTCTTCTTGCCACTAAGTAAATCATTTTGTACAATAATTGTCCGACAGTGGTTAAGACGCATCCCACTCCTGATTTAAAGAGAAGAAAATTGAAATATGCAGATAATTCGAATACATTGTAATGTTCGAGACGGAAAGCGTACTTATTAACAATTAAGGGAATACATATTCTGGTTTAGAAGATCCCAAAAATTAATTTATTAATTCATTGTATAGATATTTATTTTTAACTTTCTTCCGACTTCCGTCATTTATTACTTTCAAAGAGAGATTAAGAACTGTTTAGCTACTCGGTTGAAATATAGCGATGTATCTTCATATACAGGGTTCGGCTATCCCTGGGAAAAATTTTAACAGAATATTCTACAGGCCAAAATAAGACGAAAATCAAGAATACTAATTTGCTGATGGAGGCTTCGTTAAAAAGTTATTAACGATTAAAGTTCCGCTCATGCTGAATTTTTTTTCTAGAAAGTGGGTAGGATTTCGGGGGTAGGACTATTTACCAAAAATTGTTGTAATTGACCCCCGCAATTGAAAATAATTTTTTCAGAACGATTCGACAATTTTTTTTTCTCCGAAAAAGGCACTTACTCGAATTTTTTCTCGATAGTGGGTAGGATTTCAGGGGTATGTGTATTCACCAAAAATGATTGTAATTAGGCCCCGCAACCAAAAATAATTTTTTCAGAATGATTTGAATTTTTTTAATTTAATTGTTTAATAACTTTTTAATGAAGTCTCAGTCAAGAAATTAATATTCTTGATTTTCGTCTTATTTTGACCTCTAGAACCTACCATTAAAATTTTTCCTAAGATTGGCCGAATACCCTGTATAAACCACACGCGACGTATGTACATCTAATGGCACTTCCTCCAATAATTAATGCAATGTATTACTCAAGAAATTGACATAAAATCGGTTTATCAATCTCCCACTAAGGAAAACAAGAAGTTATTGAACATTGTACGTAAACAATTTAATAGAATCAGTTTTAGTAGCCCAATTTCTGATCAGGAATTGTCGAAGTACAATGGTGCTTCGGACAATGGTGCTTCGTATGGTTCAAACCAGAATATTCCCTTAAGGATTAGCACTTGAACGCGTTGATAATTGTTATGAAATATCTCTACATCGATTTATTACCTGCTAGCACCTGTATGTCACCCCAATTCACCACTATGGCCAGAATTTCCGGTACAAAAACGTTACTGACCGCAGTTAACGCGAACAACAAGCGAAAATAAGCGAATAGTTTTCTACTTGTCGAACTGTTCTCGTCGATAGGCCACATCCCGGCTATACTGCAAGTAATCTTATTCGGTAGTATATAATAATCGATCGACGTATTGGACGATTCTTTCATATTTTCTCTTCAAATGCGTGGATGCATATCTATTAGAATATCTGTGAACTTTTTCTCGCGTGAGTCTGGATAAAGCCTCATGACAGAGAATACTTTACAACATCGATAGAGTATTACAGGGCAGACACCAAATGATAGCTTTATTTGCGTCCCCCTTTCGCTACAAGCGCTTGCAATATTAATACCGTCGCTCTGCATTTTGCATACCTTATCTGTTTCCAATTTGCGGTCTGACGAATAGATAATGTTGTAAACAGATAGCAGTAATAAATTGTAGCCCCGGATAAGAATACTTTGAACAACGATGATGAAATTTTAACGACGGTAAGAGTCAATGTAACATGCTATGCAGAGGGAACAGCAAGAAAGCGTCAGCTTTTATTTTGATTTTCTTCGTGTATCTATCTATCGCGAGTTATAACGTCGGCTCAACCTAATACTTATCGAAATGTCCTTTGTTCGAAAAAAAAATTGCGAAACAAACATCTGTGCGTTGCCACGCCTCCGTTCGATCCGAGAATGCGAAACTTTAGTCAGTTTGTACAAAACGCTCCAACGGGACGCACGTTCTTTTGTATTTAACAAGTTTGGACAAAGTTAAGTTGACTTACAAATTTTCGATTCACGATATCACCAATATTCTTAAAAATATTCAATTATAACGCTTCGTGTGCCCCACTCTGTGTAGTTTCTGAAGACTATAAATATATCTAAAAGATTTCAAATAAACTGTTTAAAAGAAGTAAATATCATTAAAAGCAATAAATAATACATTTATTAAATAGTAATAACTTTTTCAATGAAAATGTTAGAATAGTCGCTTGTTGACCTATCGGGTCTTTGCTTTTGCAGCAATTATTTGTTTATAAAATGAAACATATCTAGGGGGTTAACGTCCACCTAAATCTATATACAAGTTTAATAAATTATTCTCTTTCCGCGAGGGAAACTTTTGACGCTTGGACGTATTGTTATTTCTTAGTCGAGTGCTGAATTTCTAAGAGACTCTTACCCACCGTCTCAGGAATCAGAAAATAGGAATACAGCGCCGAGATCAGCATGCAAATAGCGTAAGTCCAGTACACAAATTTTTCACCAACCAAGTCCAGATATGGTTGATAAGTTCTCGTGCTGGTGAAAGACATTAAAGCGTTGCTAGAACCCACCAACAGCGAAGCCACAGTTTTCAAATGCGCCGGGAACATTTCGCCCAAAAGGGTGTTCGGAATCGGTTGCAGTCCGATAGCCACGGAGATATTGAACGACAACAGAGAGATTATAGGCAACCACGTTAGCTTGCTGGCATCGTACTCCAGAGAAAGAAGATGAAAATGCAGGCCCAACACCGTCAAGGCTATCGATGTCCCGATGCATGAGATGATTAGAAGAGTCTTTCTGCCGAGTCTATCGATCACCAACGTGGTTGTTGAACCAGCCATGATGTTCGCCAAACCAAGGATCATCACCACTAGGTTAGGCGTTATGCTGACCTGGGTCCTTGTTACGATTATCTCTGCGTAGGCGCAGATGACATTGTATCCGCTCGCATAAGAGAAAGCATAGAGACCAAACGTGATCAAAGCATTCTTCAAGTTACCTGAAACGAGTGATGGCAAAATTGGTTAAAAGCTTGAAAACTATTTGTCAGTGAAAGGAGGATAGTTCTCTCGAAAAGAAGCGATATATAGGGTTTGGCGAACGTTTAAATAAAGAAATTCATTAATACTTGGTAAAAGGAACTGCTTCAAGTTTCGTAAAACATTAGTTCCAGCCCCGTCGACAAATTCCTGGAGCTCTCGCATTTCGGCTTTGACGTCAGCTTTTCGCCTAAACCACTTCAAGGATGCCTCGGCCTTGTCAATATCCCCATGCAGGAGGTAATGGTAGGGTGATTCGGGTATCATAGTGAAGAGGATCATGAAGAGGATATTCGGAACGAGACTCACGTACCCGAACATCTCCATGGATAGATAAGGGCCCATTGCATTGCCCAGGAACATACCAACGGCAGCTGCGTTCACGTTCATGGATATCTGAAGACGTGACCATAGATACGACTTTATCGAACGAGTAATACGATTGGTGATACTTGTATCGATAAAAAGAAACCATACTCTATGGCATCGCTTTAGGTAACTAGTTAAGTCAATGCAAACTGCATATCCATTTTGTTCGACCCTTAACGCGTTGACTGTTACACCACTGATGCTAATGTTTTAAAATTATGCAAACAAAGAATCGAAGAACAGACCAAAAATTAAAATAGCTATTTAGAAGCATATCAGAAGCTATCAGGCGTCTCTTCTTCTAGAATTCTAATCAGACATATCAAGACAAAAATCTAGAACGATACCCAAGGAAAGTTTTATGAAATTATGCTTGGTAGTCTTGTTAACAAAAATTCCAGGAAAAAGTGTTAAATTGTTTACTGTATTAAAGTATCGTATCTGATCTTCGATATCGGATAATTTTTCGTCGCTTCTTATAATACGTAATTAAGTTAATAAGAATTTACCAGTGATCCACGGATTCTGGGATCGGCGATCTCGCCCAGATACATCGCGAGTGCAGACCATAAAATTCCTGACCCGATTCCTGAGCAGAACCTGGACGCGTAGAGCCATATGACCGATGTGGCACAAATACTGAATACCCAACTTGAGGCTAACGGCAAACCACCAAGCAGGAGTACCTTCTTCCGTCCGATGTACTCTGAAGATGATGGTGTGACATGTTAAAGTTAGATTTTCCTGACAACAAGATCACCACAACTCAGAACTAATAATCGCATGATTGGATTATTATAATTTGTGATTTATCTTAATTTTTCGTATTTATCACAAACAGCCACAGTGGATTTTAAGCTTATTTTCTCAACAGTGGTACCATTTATAGAACTCGAACGTTCAAAGTTGAATTAATTTGTGGAAAATTTTTATATCCACCGATCGATCTGTGCGAAAATTACGATCACTGTTAGTATTACTTTTCTACGTACCACACTTTCATATCACGCTTTTCTACGAGTGCTGAGTCGTGGCTGCCTTGTTCTTACTGAATTCTCGATTAACAATGTTCTTCGCCATTGTTTGCCTTGTTTGGTCACCTGATTGCATTCTGCAAGATAGGATCGATCGAATCAACGAGATGTATGCACGTTTAAAACGGTTAAAAGGAATATATTTTGTCAATAGTGTTTATTTTGAATTGATTTCCTGTTCTGTACTATAGGCACTGTTGCGAATTATGACTATACAGGGAAAGGTTGCTTTATTTGGACCGCTGCCTGAATCGAAATTAGTACAGTTAAAAAGAAATCGAATCAATGGACTGCACTGTAAAATGCACTGTACATTTGAGAACAAACAAATGCATACATTCATATTTGCATTGACGATTCAGAAACCATAGACAAAGACTAGTCGTTATCTGCAATAACGAACAGAACAAACATAGCGTCTCTCATGAAGATAACATATTTACTGCTGAATCGTGGGCAATTCTAAAGGCATTGGAAACTGCAAAAGTAAAACAATTCAAGAGAATTTTCTTCGATGTTACTAACGAGAAGTGCACGATGAAAAACATTGGCATTTTGCATCAAAATATCCAGTGACTTCTGTTATCAGTTAACTTTTGTTCTTATACATATAGAAGAGAAAGAGTTAAGATGCACTACTAAACATGCAATGATATCTACTTTCTTCGCTTTCTACAGGTGCCTGCTAAAACAAAAGTATAATTACGGACCAAATATTTAGGTTCAGAATGAAGACAATATTTCTTATCGCATTTTTATATGATCTGTCTAGTTTAGCGATTTACAGCAACCACACAAGAAGCAAAGGGAATATAGTAATATTTTTGGTGGAAAATAAGGGCTCAAAGGTGTCCATTATTTAAATATGAAACTTAATATTTTATTCGTAAATGTGTTTGTTGAAAATATTAGGGTTGAAGAAAATGTCGTTAGCGATCTACTCATGGCAACTCTTCTCTGTTTTTAAGAAAATCAACTTCTTTAAAGACTATTTAGTCTTCGATTAAAACTGAAGATTTACGTTTCAACGGACATGTCTGGAAAGTTTTTCAAGTTCACGTGATTCACTGCGACGTATCCGGGAAGGGTGGGTTAATGGAGTTGACTAGACGAATTTTCTTTTTGACAGTGAAGGAACTACCTTACCTTGACACACTGCACTGAGCAAACAGCCGACGAGCCGGCCAAGATTTAAAAGGGAGGCCACCCAGGACGCTTCGGTAGCTGTCAGTCTCAAAGGCACGTTCGCTTCCGTCGATGTCAGTTGAGCCAAGTACGGCGATGCCCAGCCATTCGCGAGACCACTTACCACAACAGCTAAGCTGACTGTCACAAACGGCCATGAAACAGTTGCGTCAACAGATGCGAGAGTAATTTCATTAGCTTATTCATAGACATAGGCCTATCGAAATCTCTATGTAGAGGGAACGGGACAACTCGATGCATTAAGGTGCTTGCACTAGCAGTCCGCAACGGGTGACCAAACTCTTAGCTACACGCGTTAAAATTGCATTTTTAAATTGACAATGCCAAGCTTGGACACTATTGGGAATGCTTGGGAACAAAACAAATATTATAAAAGAAATTACTTAGACTGCCAGTTGTTGGTAGCATCTTAATGCATTTGTACGTTGTTATTTTGTATCAAGATAGCCAATTACTTCCGTTATCATTCAGCCTTTTATCCTTAACATTAAAGTATCTGCTACCAAAATAAAAAATGTCTTGACTGCAGATAGTAGTTTCAGGTTCAGAAAGAGAATTACGTCAAATATTACGTCAGAAATTACGTTGAATGAAGCAAATGAATTTCGTAAGGGTGTTCTTGGCAACCTTATAATAATTTTCAGTAGGAAATCGAGCGGTTCAAGGCCAAGGAAAAATTCTGTACTCTTTAATCAGACTTACGCGTAACCGCAGCCGTCCATTGCGGCCAGATAGTAATGTTTTTAGCTTCATCCTTCTTTGGATCCTCGATGGGCATCCTGTATTTTTATAGGATGTAAGGAACGTGCAAGGATGCGATGTGCCTCTTGGTCGCACGGACGCTGTTTCCCCGACTGATTCATGTGATTCGCGAAACTTATACCAGGAAGGCACCGGTTGAGATCGGAAAATTTGCATTTACATTCCGATAAGACGTATGATGTATTTATGCTGTCTGTATGCCAGAGTTTGATTACTTGGCTATGCCGCGTGTGCTTGCTCTTGGGAGTGGTTTAAAGTCTGTTATCGCGGGATTCTTACGGGAATATTTTTCTTATCTCGGCTTATTAGACGAGAAACGTTACTGATTTTTGGAAAACATCAAGACACGTAAACGTCGGCTAGTCATGATTGACATTTTCGCCGTGTTATCGCAAAATCATGTCAGAAATAGCTAATGACAATGTCAGGACTAATTGTTTCGCTGCGAAATTTATTAGACCTGTATGGAAGATTAACGATAAAATTATTGTGAATAGATTATACAGCGAATAATTATTTATGAGAAATTGTACAGAGACATTATCGTTTAGTTTGACAATTTTATTGTATTTATATTCATCAAGCTTGTCTTTACATTTGTTTTCTTTTATTGTACTTAGGATAGTACATGCAATATCGTGCAATATATTTTCTTGGAAGTTCTCAAGAACTGTGGCAGCAAAAGCTTATTGTGACTTTAGAATTCATTAGAATCTTCATTTAACATAATATTTTAGATTAATCGAACCACTTATTCATTGTTTAAAGTAGATTGGTATGGAAATTCTTGCATTTGTCGGCAACTGTTGTTTAAAAAACAAATATTTCTTCGAAATATATTTCGAATTTTAATGCACGAAATGCTTTGTGTGGTTCACTCTGTATATTTCTTTAGTGTAGATTGTTTTTAAATCGATTAAACGAGTATTGCATTTTGTGGCTATATTATCGCTTTTCCGTGTAAATTGAATTGAAAGTTAATTAACGGTATTAGTGTTTTTCATACTCAATTATTTTTAAGTATTTTTTTCATTTCAGAGTAAAAATTATTTAAAATGAAAAAACAGCGAGCACCTCCGAGCAATACCAAAGTTCCAGATCTTTTGAGTGCTTTTGTAAGAGGAAATCGTCTTCATGGAGGAAAAAGGTAAAACAAACTCAATTAAATCTATAAATATATGTTCCGTTTTTATTTTATCTTATACATGTACATTTATAAAAAGAATTGTTTAACCTACATTAAGCAGACTTGTGATATTTATAACATTGCACTACAAAACATGTCGCCAGCCAAACAAGTCTGAAAGAGTTATTAATGTCACAACTGCCACCCCCTCAGTGTCAAGCAGATTTCGTGCCCTTAATTACGAAATTAGGAGAATCGAATGAATCAGGTGTCAAGGTGAATAAAGTTTCTGCAAGTTACAGTAATAGTAATGGACATAAACAAATTGGAGAAATGTTGGACAAAAATTTTAGTAGGTTGAATGGTAGTTGCTCAAATATACGTGTATGATTGTTACATTTCATACCAATACACTATATCGATTTTAAAATATAAAAAAAAATTATTTTTAATTTAATTTAAAAAGCAACAGCGGAGGATACAGAAGCTGTAAAATGTTTAAATTGCCTAATGAATGATATAACATTATCATTTGATGGCAAATGGTTAAAAAGTTATTTTGAAGTGCCACTAAAAATGGCAATCAAAGAAATTGTAGCAAAGAAACCTTATGATCCAGTCAATTATCTTGGGTTTTGGTTATTAAATTATAGAAAATGTCAGGAAAACAAACAATGGCAATTAGAGGCTGATCACGAGCTTCATTATTATCGATCTTTGATACCAAAACCAGTAAGTAACATTAGTAAATTCGTATTGGAAGTGTTACTTACAAAGTTTACGCTTTTATACGAAAGAGTCGTTGTTTAAAAATAATGTATTATAGGTACTTGAAGTAGAAGAACAGATTTCAATAGATAAAGGGGAAGAAGAAGAAATAGTACGAGACTGGAATTTTAAATATTATGATTCTGTGCATAGTACAGTGTGAATGATTTTATTATACACATTATTGATTTATAGTTTTATATTTACAATTATTTTCACTATCTTATAAATAATTGAAATAAAACTATAAAAAGCATGAATCAAAGTTAAACGGTTACGTTTGAACAGATATAAATTTAATTGTTCAATTGAATAAACGTCACGAATAAATTGTTATACGCTGGTTTTATTGGTTATTAATTATTGAAATAAAATGTTGCCCATTTCTGCTTCTTCTCAATTACCAGACTTATACTCAATTGAGGCGGCGTGAAATACATTTGATGGTAAAATACGTAAAAATTATTATGTACAAAAGAGCAAAAAAAGAAATGATCTACGAAATAAATTGAAAAAGGAATAACAAATCGTATTCAATCGTACACATATATGATAAATTTTCAAATACCATTATATCGAAACCGAAGATTTATATAAAAAAAATGTATAGTTAAATTTAAAAAACAATTGAAAGCACATACTCGTGTATTGCACTTGCACCAATGTATAAAACTTATGTCATCAAAAAATTATCCTGCATGTGGGATTTAACTTTTTCCTCTGTGAATTTTTTGTCTCTTCGCTTATAAAAGAGCTACAGTTTGCCCTAGTTTCTAGGATCACCTTATACAGAATATAATCCATTAATTAATATGATAAAATGTAATATTTCGTTTTCCACAGGTGCATATATTTTCGATATGTTTAACATGTCTTTTTTAAAATGGATTTGTAAATTTTCATAGACCGGAAATTCAAGCAATAGAAGTTCGTGGACATTTGATCATGCTTAAAAATTTGATTGTTTGTTCGCAGATAACGATCACTTTAGACATTCGTTTGACGCGCATAATTGTTTAGTAATACAAACTGAACATACTTTTTAACAATTGTTGAAGTGTTTAATCCATTTCAGTCCCTTTTTCAGAATGTTCCACGAGACAGAACAATTGTGCTTACATGCTAAAATTTGTAGAACAACAGTTAAACATTAACAAATTGAAATGTTTATTTCACCCCGTGTTTACCGTCCTCGATTCCGCGCAAACAGGCCGCTATTTGACCATAAGATACCATTCATCCTTTAAATCCACAAAAACTACGTCGACACTTCCTCTAAGCATCGTCAGATGTCACTTTCGACGTGGCCGTCAGTTCGTGGAAGCTCGGGCTTTTCCGTCGTCGGGTCCACGGTTCCCATGCGAAGCTGCACTCAGTCCGAATCGCGCAGCCGCCCCAGTAGTTTGTTGCGCGGTTGATCGAAATACGAACGAATAGTCGCGAGCACGGGCGCGCGTTAATCGACAAATACCACGTCTCGACCCCGTGTCCCGTCTTATTTTTCAGGTATGATCGAGGAACGCATAGAAGAATGACGCTGGCGTGGCAGTACGCGTCAGCGAACGGTGTAAAGAGGCACGCTTTGTGCGCGATTCGATTGTTATTGACGCGAGGGTTGGTCGCGCGGCCATGCCAGTGGTCGGGTCAGAGGTTTGATCGCCAGATGGCGCGGCGTACGTCTCGGTTCACCCTGCCTGCGCTGGAATGCCCTCGGCGAGGAGCCTGTCGACGCTGTCGTCTTTCGTTGGATCTTTTTTCCACGCCACGATCAGGTGACCGGCTCGTGACCGTTTCCGCAACCTGCGAACCGATCCCTCGACCGTTAACGATCACCCTTGAACGGACGCGCGACCCCGGAAACGGATGTTAGAACGGATGCGCCAGGCGGGTGGTCCACTTTACACATACGGAGGTGGTGTGTTGTGTTGTGCACTAGAAGGCGGTTCCAGTGGCAGCCCGCTCGATCCTAACCAACCGTTTTCTCGTTCGACGGTGCGATATCGACGAGGATCAGTGGCCAACGGGGCGCATAGTGCTGTCGCGTTGCAACCGTTACGATTAATCCCGTGAAAGGAAGACGGTGGTGCTGGGGCGATCGAGTCGAGGCGGAACACGGGAGTGTCGTCCACCATTTTGGCTGCGCGAGGTTACTCGATGCGTGCACCGTTCTCTCCGCACGTTCGTTATTTTCGCCCCTGGCCTCGCGGAGAATCGTTGACGATGCGCGTCGCGTTTACGTACGGTCCGAGAGACTAGAGTGGACGGTGCATGGAAACTGGTGGCTAGGTAAAAATGGTCCCGTGATAACCGACGTTTAAATGGAGCAAGGCGAGGGCTGTTTTCCTCGTCGCAACCTCGAAGCTGTCAGCTGGTCGTGCGGTACCTCTGCAAATTGACCCAGAGATCGTTCGGCCACCCTAATGAGCCACGGGATTCGCATACAACGTAAATCGAGACACCGCGCATCGACGATCTACCGATCCAGCCGAATCAGAATAAACGGCGTGGTCGGAAAGTGGGTTACCGTGAGTGTCGTCTCTGCTGGCCGAGAACCGACGACGTTCGATCACTGTGACCGTGTTCGTGTTCGGGGCCTTTACACCATATTCGGGGACAATCGTGCATCCAGCGCAGCTGATCGCCAGCAACGTGCCACCAAGCCGAGGAGGAGTCGGGGTTAACACCTCGAGTGCCGTTAACCCCGTTTTGCGTGGCCATCTCGCGGCGGGGGACTCTTTCCGTCGCGATTTCATCGCGAACCTACGTGTTCGCGGATATGTGAGATGGGCTAAACGATCGGGGATCGGACCGACGACCGGTCCAGTCCAGGAAACGCGCAATGAAACGCGGGAAACGATGAAGACTGTCGGGGACAATCGAGCCGCGGTGCCAGTGTGAGTCGATGGACGGAATGACGGGTCGGGAACGTTCGCTCGGACGATCGGTGATCACGTTCGATGGATAGGCGCGACTCCGCACGGTACGCGTTAAGCGCGGTGAACACTTGTTTTCGAGGGAGTGAGTGACTGTCGAGGGATCGCGGGGATCGAGGCATTCGCGCGGACAGGACGCGATGGAGACCGAGTGACTTTTTTTTCCAACAACATCGCCCGACCCCGTTTCGCCCCCGGATGGGGATCCTCTAGAGTAGTTCTAGATGTTTCGTGCGATTCGTCGACCAAGTGAACTGGTTCGGTGTGCTCGATCAGTGCTCTGAGTGTGTGCCGTTTTTGTCGACGGTTTGACGAGGATTACGCGTGCTGCGCACCTTGCTCTGCCCACGTCCGGATGTAAGTAACTTTGCACGAGTTTCTCTTTGATCGGTAGCGATGGGAACGAGACTTGTTTTGGTAACTAGGATTTGTTTACGTTCGAGGTTGATACTTTTGTGGTCGGTTATCTCGAAGAATGCGTTCGAATCGTAGCCTTTCGTGGTCAGTGACCCGATTTGGTAAAGCACGAAATTTACGAAATAAAATCGATAGTAAACGACCAATGTTGTTTGTTATAAAGAAAGTGGCACTCGGAGCGACACGTGTTACGTTTGTTATTTATGTTTTTGAATCGATTCTATCGATTACGTCGAGTTTGATATCTGTTAAATTATTACAAGTAAAAGAAGTTGCGATACCATTTGATAATTACTTTTGAATACGTACATAATTGGTAACTTTTCAAAATTAATCACCTGTTGTTCTGAAGTATCGCGAAAGAAAATAACAAGCGCATGTTTAATGTTGTTTACTATACGTAATAAAATGGTACAGGTAAACCTCCTATAACACGGTAGATAGATTCCTAGAAAATGCCGTGTTGTGTGAAACCGTGTTAAATGAGATCCAGAGCCAGTATAAAGAGGGGAGTTACGTTCCGAAAACTTATTAAAAACAAATATTTTTTTTTAATTCTACATAAGCAATTTAATTTTGATGAAAAATATTAATGTATGTATAACACAAAACAAAAAATATTATTTTAATTTAACGCAACTTTAATTTAATAAATTATAATTTGTTTATATTTTTTCATGTAAAGCCACTATAGTTCATTATTCCTTCGCGTCATTATTTTAGGGTAATTTAGTTTTTAAATATGTTAAACAAAAACCATGTTATCCAGTGCTGTAGGAGTACAGTGTTATACAAAAGTTTTTGAAATCGTGTTATAGGATGCCGTGTTGTAGGAGGGCTATCTGTATTTATAATGACACGTGTTTTGGTGTACTTAATACATTTTTGGTTGAAATTAATTTATTGCTCAATTATTGCATTCAAATCATATCGGTGCCTATTAATTATATCAAGTTCGATATTTGATTACATTCATAAATTACGGCTAATTAAAGCTGTAACGGTACCAACAATATTACAACAATTATACGTATATATATAATTGGTAATTTTTTAAGGTATGAATTCGAACGAAAGAAGCAAATGTATCAAATACAACGAAAACAATAATTATTTTCAAATCATACTTTGTAAAGAAGAATTATTTAAATGAATTAATATGGTACATTTCCATATAATATTAAATTGAATGGATCAGTTTATAGAAATTATACGAAATAATAATTGTTTCATTATTTTATTACAAAAGTGCTAAATGATACCAACTATAATTGAGATGTAAGAGTATAATTAGAAATTTGTACAAAGTATTAACGAATATCTTACAGGATCAATCCCATCACTATTGTCTACATATACATTTACTTTTGAAATTGATACTTTTGTATCAAACTATTCTAAAAAATCACAATAGAATGTGGTTGACCATATCTTCTTTGATAATACGTACGAATGTCTTTTCTTCATTCTGGTCATCTTTACTATATAAATATATAACCTTTTGGTTTGTTAGGCTACATTATATTGTGATTTATGTTATAAGCAAAATATTGATCTGTGTTTATTTCATTTTAAAGGATGTGTTTACTGTTACGAGATTTATCGAGTCACGCGATTATTATATGATACATATCAGTTACATAATGTTTGAAAACTAGTTGTTTACATTCGTGACTCGGTAAACGTAATTCGTAACTCCCTGAAGTTACATTTTTACGTTCGTGTCTAGTTTGTTGCCATATTTTTACCCTTTTTATTAGTAAAATTGTGATATTATAATTCCAAGACAATGTTCTGTATCATTATGTAATATAATTTAGAACGAAATTTCATTTTAATAAATCCGCCGAGAGGGATCTTTAGGTATTCTCTTAGTAGATGTAACCATTTTTAATAGACTTCAACGCTAATTAATTAGGAATATTAGCGAATAAAGATACGGTGTCAGTGGATGTTAATTAGCAATTTTCTGGTACAGAAATTCCTTCAAGATTTTACTACGGTAAACTAAGTATTCATGAAGCTATATCCTGAAACTAATATTGAGATATGGAAGGTTCTGTGATACACAGGGTGTCCCATTATTGCAAGTACAAAGTGCAATAATTTCCTTTACAATATCTTCTTCATTTCCACTTGTACAATTTCAATGTATTTTATAGTAATATTATTTTTCCATACTTCCAAGACCTAAATGCAATGATTTCTTCGATAAAAAGAAACATCCATCCAAGTTGTTCTACACGCACTGCTTTATTATTTTCGCTGAAAGTGATATTGAAATCTTTTCATTACGAGGAAGAAGACCCGTTTTCTTCGACGTCGCCTCGAGCGTTTAATCGTCGAGTTTTCAAGCGATCGTAATAAAATATTCACGGTTGATCGAGAATCGATGCCTTCTCTGCACGCGGTTCTTTCTTTGTCGCGAAAGTTGACGAGGTTGTTGGTGGTTCCTTTATGGAACGCGAACGTTTCCTCGCGGAACCTCGTAATGAAACGGCGCAAACGTTCTCGCGAAATGACTCTTTAATAAAATACCCCTTTATCGCCACTTTGCGGAACCTTCGTTTGTCGTTTTCGCGACATCCACCGCTCGACCGTACATTGAAAGTTTAATGCGAAATCATCGAACACGGAGAGCTGGCTGGTTTCCAGTTTCTCCCGCGACCGTCTCTCAAATCCGTTCTCCTACAAGCCTTTATACAGTACTAGTTCCCGTAACACATGTTCAACTGTGTACGTGACATACGTTGCGGGCAAAGGTACCTGCATAACCGTGCTCGGTACTGAATTATTGGAAATGTAAATTGAAAGTCAACGTTGCTTAGAGACTCGCGACGAGGGTGGTCGCGCTTGACGGGGAAACGTTAACGAAGTCGATTTTTTCGAGGCTTCGTTGGATGTATTAGGTAGGACACTGTCGCGTCGCGAGGAAAAAAAAGAAGAGACCTGGACCTGGTCCCATCAATTGACCCTCCAACCCTTTATAGTCGCGTTCGTTGTGTCGACGCGTCTTAAAGCGCCGAACTGCTTTGTAGTAGCGAAGATGGCACGTGTGGACTCGGTGGGAGCAAAGGGCGCGTCTGTATAAATAGAGGACCCCCAATCGCGTAAGCAGTGTCGCCAGACACTTCAGACAAGTCACATCACACATGTTAGTAGATTCGTTACAACACTAAGTTTGTTATAGCGATCTAGTCTCTTTTTCATTCATTTATTCTCGAAACATTCGATTTCGTCGTACCAATTTTCTATAAACATTTTTGTGTTTACAAATATCTTAGATATCTTAAATCTCAGAGTCTCCTGTTTAACATACGATTTAAATTTTTTAATATTTATATATTGCAGAATGTATTTATTTTCAGTTTCTGTTTAATACGAATCTACATTCGCGAATTAATTTAAAATGCCCACCTCAACACTTCAATATTTGAATACACCGCCTTAGGAAATTAAGTGTGTTATCGCGATCTAATCTCTTTTTCATTCATCTATTCTCGAAACATTCGATTTCGTCGTACCAATTTTCTATAAACATTTTTGTGTTTACAAATATCTTACATATCTTAAAACTCAGAGTCTCCTGTTTAAGATGTGATTTTAATTTTTCAATATTTATGTATCGCGAATGTATTTGTTTTCAGTTTCTATTCAATACGAATCTACATTTGCCCATCTCTGTCTTTGTAACAAAGGTACAAAGTTTTATTTAATAAAATTTTTTCTGATACATGGACGATGATTTCTTTTAGGACTTGAAATTACAATTTGTTTACACAGTTTTTGTTCGAGAATACATCAAAGCTTATATTTCAATGGGTTTAGATATGAGGTTGCCAGAATTTAAATCTTTGGCTTTAACGAATGTTGGAATGTTGGTTACCAACCAAAGCTGAGTTGTTTTCGCTTTGTGAACGAGTGCGGTATTTTGTTGGAAGAACCATAGTTTTCCATTCAACAAGGTATCGCACGGACTCTTTCCACAGGCTTCGCAAGAGCTACGAGCTGCGGACTTTATCGGTTTGTTTGTTAAATATCTCTTCTATCGCACAGACTCTTTCATCGGTAAATAACGTTTGTGTGTAACTTCGTTTAAGTCTGAAGCGATTGTTTTGCTGGAATTCTTCTTATCTCTTTTTATTTTTCCGTCAATGAACGATCAACACATCTATTATAGGTATCCATCCTTAAATTCTAATGAATAATAAAGAAATTTGCATGCTGAAATATTCATTTCTTTCGCGTACCGTGTGCTAGAAACGGACAAAATTTTATTCAAATGAGAGATAATCAATAAAACCAACGTGTGACAATTTATTCATAACGTTTATTTGATCGAAAAGTTAAATTTTGATTCCTTTATTGCGAAATATTTTGTTTTACAATTGACAGTTTTATTTTTAGTCAACGGGTGACTGTTGAAAGGGGTATACTTTGTATTAAATATGCGAAATTTTTATCTACATAAGGGTTTTCAGTTCACAATCTGAGTTTTGAAAAAAGATGAACATTTTCACGTTGAGATTTTTAGAAAAAAGCTGGTTATATTATTTTTAACAAAACAGATGTGTTCTATTTTTGTTAGACTTAACAGAGCTCTTTCTTTAGTACTGTATATGCAGTATTTAATTACTGTTCCCATTAGCTCCTCTGTAAGTGTTTTTATCAGCAACCGATTGTACCCAGTAGATAACGGCTTGTCTTGGAGGCTTGTTCTGCCACCTTTAAATCGATCAGTCCAACAATAGACGACACTTGTCGATTCTTCGAACTCATTAAAAGTAACTTGCAACAGCCGATCAATCTCGAATGTCCCGTTACCTGGTTTTTAAAAGTGGAGTATAAAATTATTATAGCGTTTTATCTGGCTACAAATTTTAATACGCGTGAAATATGGAGCGTCGTGAAAGCGTCCATACGCGCTATAAAATGTAATA